AATGAGTTCTGGCCACCAGTACTTGTTCTGTAATTGCTGGTTTGTTGTGACAACTTCAAACATACCATGAACATGATGTATGAAGTAATTCCTCTGTGACACCTTCACAATTCATAGAATCACAGAATCATGGAATGGTTTGGGTTAGAAAGGACCTAAAACCTCATCTAGTTCCAACCCCCTGACAGGGGCAGGGACACCTTCCACTAGACCAGGTTGCTCAAAGCCCCATCCAACCTGGCCCTTGAACCCTGCCAGGGATGGGGCAGCCACAGCTTCTCTGGGCAACCTGTCCTAGTCATGCTCACAGTGAAGAACTTCTTCCTTATATCTAATCTAAATCTACCTTCTTCTACTCTAAAGCCATTCCCTGTTGTTCTGTCACTACAGGCCCTTGTAAAAAGTCCCTCTCCAAATTTCTCATACCCCCCTTTAGGTATTGGAAGGCTGCTATAAAGTCTCCCTGGAGCCTTCTCTTCTCCAGGCTGAACAAGACCAGCTCTCAGCCTGTCTTCACGGCAGAGGTGCTCCAGCCCCTGATCACCTTCATAGCATCCCTCTGGAGTCACTGCAGCAGGTCCAAGTCCTTCATGTATTGAGGGCCCCAGAGCTGAATGCAGCACTCCAGATGGGGCCTCACGAGAGCAGAGGAGAGAACAATCACCTTCCTTGACCTGCTGGTCACATTTTAAAATTCCCTAAAATTCCATATAATGTGAAGTGACATTTCATTACGTATCTACCTTGTGGGTGAAGTTCATTCTGTAGGCTGAAATGTGGTATTGGAATAGCATCCATGCATTTGGAATTCCTGAATCACCTTCTAGACAGGAAGATATGTTATTTCTGTTAAATCAGACATTACAAGCAAGTAACTTTAAATATTTCTCCTGTAATTGTAGCAAACATATTTATAATCCATACAGCAACTTCCATATAATCAGGTAGATAAGCATCTAAAAAAGTGCAGACGAGATAAACTATGAGCTGCTGTGCTTTTAGTTTGACTAAACTGTGTCATGTACAAATGAAAGTAATCTTGCTAGCCATCTGCAGACAGTTCCTGCTCCTCTGAGTCTTCCTGTCGTTAACACAACTGCCAAGAGGTGTGATCTGTAAGCAGTTGGAGTATAATGCCTCAGAGACAGGTTCCCTACTCTTCTGTAGTATATGCACAATGAAATGTTTTCTTTCCAACAGTTTTACTGTATCTTATAAACTAACTGTTCAGGGTTCAAACACAATGGTCTCCTCATAGAGACTGTCCCATGGATTTGGGGAAAAGTGGCTCCAGATTCCTATCATGAAAAAGTGATGGCCAGCATGGTCGAGGGAGTGCTGCCTGGATGTAGCTTGACTCAAAGGCAACTGCCTGGTAAGCTCTCCACACTGGGAGTACCACCCAAGATCTTTCCAACAGCTGTTGGGAAGGCAGAGTGGGCCTCAAGTCAGCTGCAATCAGGTTTATTAGGTCAACTGCAATGCCATAATAAAGACCTGAGTGTTTGTCTGGCTTCCAGAGGGCTGGGAGGGAGTAAAGGAAGTAGCTCTGCATTTACAGCATTTGACCATTCCTGTTCTGAGACAAAAGTAATGACAATTGTGGTGAACACTGAAGTCAAAGCTTTCATTGTAAAATCTAAAATTTACCCAACATAGCAAATTTTCAGACAATGTGTTGTTCTTAATAGTTCTGCAAGCATTGCATAGGAAGGAATAGACAATGATTTGAGACCTGAAAAATACGTTTGTAATTATTTTTATTTTTTTTCTGGGAAGCGTGAGCTCTTCTACATGTTCTATGACCTTTTTTGACCCCAGTGGAGAGATGACCTGCTCAAGAAAAGACTACTTTCTGCATCTGATTCAGTATTCAGCAAAACTCAGCTTCAGCCCTCCTGTATTGACATGTTGAAATACAGCCTGTAGGGTTTTTCTTTTCTGCCAGCTTCAGGAGTTTTTCCAAATACACTAACATCATCCAGATAATGCTAGATTCCAGGCTTGTTATTAAGAATTATTAACATATTTGAAAAGCTCTGGGTGTTGATTCAGGTCCATATGGCTTACGATCAAAAGAGAAAAGTTCCATTAAGTGTAATAAGTGCTGTGAAACTCAAGCTGTCTGGACACTTGGCAATATGCATTCTTTAAATCAAGAGTAGAAAACATATTCTGCAACAATGACATCAGTATCTGTAAATGGTTAACTGTCAATCTCAGTGGCTTTGTCTGGCTTCCCTAAGTCTACACAAAACCAAGTATTCTGGTTTGCATTTTGTCAACAGTGTGCTGAAACTAATTCAGAAAACGTAGTGTTTCCATCCGTACAATTTTGGGCTAATTTTTTTTTTTAATTATCTTGTAACAGCATCTCTCATTCAGTTGTAGAGAATATAATCTTCATTGCAAAACCTGGCACTTTAGATCAAATTGTCGTGCTGTGAGTAAACATTTCCATGTAATAGCTGATACTATTTATTTTGTAAGAGCTGAAACTGGAGTTTGTATTGCAGTGGGGTTTTGTTATATTGAAGCAATCCACATAAATACACACACACACACTTGCGTATGTAGTGCAGTTCCCAGATTTCTGCTTAACAGGATTACATAAAAAAAAACAAACAAAAAAACAAAACCAAACAACAACAACAACAACAAAAAAACACCAAAAAAAAACCCAAACCCCTATCAGTATGTATCAAAAGTGAGTTTTCTATGCAGGAAACAAGAACAGTGCTCTGCATGTAGCTCACTGTATAACATCAAGTGTCAAACTTCTGTGGCATTGCAGGCAAATGCATTCAGAGTACTGAAGCTCAGAAAACAGTGTCCAGTGTTATTTTAGTAACATATGACTGTTATGATGCAAGAAAAATTCATCCCTAATAAATAACTGCTTTCATCCGTGGTCAAAACTGTACATTTGACACTGTAATGCCACATAAATATTGCTTAGGTAGAAATTCATTATCTGTTTTAATATAACATCTTGCTGCAGCATTTACAGGTTATCCAATACGGATTACAAAGTGCTGTGGAGACAGCAGTAGTATATTTACACACAGACATATACACACACATACATGTGTTATGTATGATGTAGTATGCATCGTTCTAGTGGGTGCAGTTTGAATGCAGTTCACCATTTCTCAATTTTCCTATTGCCAATTCAGTTAGAGAAGCAATGGGTACAATCTCTTGTAATGTCAGGTCCAATTCAGGAGGTAAGTACTATCTATAATCAATAGGAAAAGCTTTCTTCCATAAGCTAAACTTGACCTTTTCCTGCTGTGCCTCTAGACTTGCACTTGATTTTTAACTCCCTTAAAGCAGCAGTGTGATGTTCTGTTGAGTCACTTGGTTTCTGTGTATGCTGGTAGTACTTACTGGATTCAGCCATGACATTAATTGCAGTAAGAAATACTTAATTTCAGGAGCATATTCTTCTTTTTTTTTTTTTTCCACCATGAAAGCATGGAGAATGCACACCATCTCTCTGTCGCTTTCTTTTGGTTTGCCTTCTCCAGCAAAGTCAGTACCATTAACTGTGGGTATAGGTTTTCCAACCCTTTGCAAGTGAACAGAAGGAACCTGGGAGCACCTGGACTTTGTAGGAATTATGCAAGAGAATAAAATGACAGCACAGACACTCCACTAGGTGAATAGAAAGAATGTAATACTAAAAAGATTATTCCAGGCTGAGATTTCTATTTCATAGAAATACTAAATGAAAGTCTCATACTGACTGCAACAGGCAATAGTAGAAACCAACCAAACCAACAACAATAAGAAAAATAAAATCACAAAGTCAGATTATTTTACAAAGTCCTGTAATTTCTTTTACCTGACAAATGTCCTCTGCCCAGCATCGATACCACAACATCAGAGCTCTCCTGAGTAATGGAAGTTCAGTTCATGTTATGTACATGAAGCAATTGGATCATCATCCACCTGTGAACAGATGGGGAACTGATGCAGAACATTTTTCAGTATTAAACTAGCCACTTATGATGGGAGTTACTGACAAACCTGCCTACACTTTTGTGTTTTGTTGTCCTTCCAATACTGAAAACAATGAAGGTGTGTCAGGCAGTTTTAATGAGATACTTAATTAGTGCAGATGTAGGCTTTTAGCTTGGGGTGTGAGATGTGAATGAAGCCTGTATAGTGGAGTGCTAGACAGTTACTAAAGGTGAGGAAGTGCAAAAGGGAGAAAAAGGCAGTAGGAGGCAAAGAAACACAGACAAATAAGTAATACTAGTAGCAATCATTTCCTTTCCAAATGTTACTAAGGTGACAAAGATGGCATGCAGCAAGTCACAAACGAATATATAGCTGTTTCAACAACTGGATGATTGTAAAAATTTTTACACAACCTAACTCTGTTGAACCTAAAACATTCCAACTGCAACGACATATTTTTTCAAGACAATTTCCAAGGCATACTCAAGCCCTCTGATCAAAACTATATACTCTGGAATCCAAACTAAATTTAGAAGCAGCTGTTTTAACATGATTTTGTTTCATTCTTGTTTTTATTTTAAGGGGAAATGACTTAGGAAATCTGGAAAGACGTCATGGTGAAGAACTATCTTCCACGTACCATTTCCAATGGGAACAGAAGGGTGAGGAGGAAGAGCACAATGAACCTGCAGCAGTAACACTACACCATATGAGCACTCAAGACTGTTTTAGGAAAAGTCACCACTTTTGCTTCCTTCGGGGCTGCCTGGTCCTTTTCTAGATAAAACAGCCTGTGCATTGTGGTTGTTGGGAGTGATTTTTTTTTTTTAATTATTTTTTTTTTATTTTTCAACCCATTAAATCGTACCTTTGTGTGCAAGTAAGGTTTAAGTTACAAAGGGCATGGCAGCAAGGCAGAACAGGGGTGCTGCTGGGAGAGGGACGAAGGAGACTGCAGGAGCTGAACAGATGGATACACAAAAGCTTGAATAATTTGTAACTCATTTCAGTCTGAACAACGAATGCCAAACATATTTCAATAGTATTGCAAATATACTTTAATATTTAGGGGAGAGGAAGAACCCACAGTATTCTGCAACTCAGGAAGGTGTGCTAAATCTTTTGATTCGCATTTCGTGTATATCTTAATCCGAAGTCATCCAAGAAGAGAACACATCCCTCGTCAGTTTTACGAGCGCAGCACATCAACTCCTTTGTTTACACTGGCACACGAAGATGTTCTTTCCCGCTCCGGCAACAGAAGGAGCCGAAACGCTAACGTGGGATCTCTCCGAGCCGGCACCTCTTCGGTCAGTGGTCGGTCTGTCAGACTTCGGCACGCCGCTCCGAGCGAAGCAAGGGGGGAACCGCAGAGGCGACAAGCACGACACCAGCCCCACGGCACCTCGCTCGTCGCGGCCCAGCACGACCCGGCCCCGCCGAGCCCGCGGGCTGCCCCAGCCGTAAGTAAAGGGTTTCACCGTAAAACGGGGAGAACGGCGGGTGACTGGGGTCGAGGAAGGGCCCGACCGCCGCCCCGCTCCGCCCCGCCAGCGCCCTCAGCGCCGCGTCCCCGGGGAGCCGCCCCCCCGCGCGCCTGCCTGCCGCGCAGCACCACGGGAGCTGTAGTCCGGCACCACCGCCCGCCTCTCTGAGCTCCCCCCGCCCGCCACCGCCCCCCGGCCCGGGGCACAGCGGCGCCGCGGCCACTCTCGCGAGGCTTGGCGTCGGGAGCGCTCTCGGGCGGGCTGCTCCGCCGCGGGGATGTTTGGTGCGGGCGCCATTCCCCCGCGTGACGTCATAGTGCATTGTTGTGAGCGTAGCGGAGCATCCCTCAAGCTGTCAGCTGTGCCGCCGCCGCTGCGGGGAGCCGAGCCGGCCCGGCCCCCACTCCCCTCCTTCTCCTCCTCTTCTCCCGCCCCTCCCGCCCCGGGGGCTCCAGCGCTCGGTGTCACCGTATCATTGTCCGTGCGGAACCCCTCCGGGCCACCCCCTCCCGCCCGTCAGTTTCCCGGTCCGCCTTCTCGCCGCTCCCCTCCCTCCCTCCCTCCTTCCCTCCCCCCCCCCCCCCCCCCCCCCCGAACCACCTCAATGAGATGCAAACATGAAAGACAAGAGGAAGAAGAAGGACCGCACCTGGGCCGAGGCTGCCCGCCTGGTAGGTGCCGCGGCAGCATTGTGTGTGTGTATAAGTGAGTGAGTGTGTGTAAGTGTGCGTGCGCCGCCAGCCCGGCGCGCTGCCCGCCGCTTTGTTGCCGGCGGCTGGGGCCGTTGGGGCGAGCGTGCGTGTGAGGGAAGGAGGGAGGAGAGAGAGGACGAGAGAGAGTGTGAGAGGGAGTCTGAGGGAGAGTGTGTGTGTGTGTGTGCGCGAAAGGGAACTGTGTGAGAGGGAGAATGAGCGGAGAGAGCGTGTGTGTGTGTGTGTATGTATGTGAGGGAGCGCGAAGGAGTGCGTGTGTAAGGGAGTGCCCCTGAGTGTGAGGGAGCGCCTGTGCAGGAGCGGGTGTGCAGGCTCGGCGGAGCTCGTGCGAGTTCGTGTGTGTGTGTGTGTGTGTGTGTGTGAAGGGAGAGGCCGGGGTGCCCTGGGGTGAGGGTGCGAGTGCGAGCCCGTGTGTGGTGTTGGTGAGAGGGTCCCCCCCTCGCCCCAGCGGTGCCGGGGCAGCCGGCTCGCAGTGCCGTTGAGCCCGGGCTGGCGGTACCGGCAGCCCTCTGCCCCGCTCCCGTCCCCGCCTGGAGAGGAGAAATAGCTACGTCCCTTCCGCGGTGTATGTGTGAGGAAATGCCTATATTCTTTTCTTCTTTTGCATGACTGTGTGTAGATAGCCAGGGGTTGTTTCTATCTCTCCAAGTTCACGCATCAGACATCCCACGAAAATCCCTCCTTTTAATGCTAGGGAAAAGTGAGATAATCCGCGAATTGCCTTTTATCATCCCTTGAGTGCGGACAGGAGGACCGGGGTGAGGGGCGAGGACTTTAGAGAGAACTTTGTCCTGGGATTTCCCTTCACCCCCTCTGCTTCCCCCACTGTGCAGGGAAATATCCAGGGCAGTCGGACCCACTCCTGCAAAGGCTCCGTGGCTCTGGAGACTTAGCCCATTCCCACTTCATTAAGAAACTGTCTCCCTTACACTACTGTATCTGTTTTCATGATTCTGTATTATTGTTTGCTAAGTGTGATAGCACGCATTGTTTATGTTGTTTCTCATTTTTGAAGTATGTACAGGTTCACTCCATCCTAGGATTTTTACAACAAATACTTACAGTGCATCGTATATGGTTGTACACATTTGTATGTGTGTCTTCTGCAAAGTTGGGTCTGGTTCAGCTTCAGCTGGGTGCGTAGAAAGATGGCAAAGATAGAAAGATAGGCTGTTGATTATATTGCTTTTTGTGTCTACACCAACTTTATCTGTTATCTCTTGTTGATACAGACTTAATTGCTTAAGTGGCATGTCTGTGCATCTGGTTTTGGTAATGGATATTCATCTCTTATTCCTATTACTTGTTTAGTAGTGAAGCATATTTTTTATAAAAATGTTTTCACCTTGTGTGAAATTTCACCTTGTTCCTGCATAGGAAGTTCAGCCTCTCTCTCTCTCTCTCTCTCTCTCCCCTATGTAAATAATTATAAGGTATCAGACAGACACTACCTATAGATGTCTCTGCAAGCTATACTGAGGTGTTCTCATATGCTTGGTCAGTGCTAAATTCTGATATGGCTCGTTGTACATCCTACAGTGTTTTGTAACACTGCAGCTTTTGCAACGATGTTCTGATACAGTGTCGCTACTGTCCCCTCATTTCTTACAGTTGTAACAGAAGTTTAACTGTCACGTTTGCAGTAATAATTTTGTCAGTGAGTGTTGCTACAGTACTACTTTCTCTGTGCTTTAAACTGGCAACATGTATTCAAGAGTCTATAAAATACATCAAATGCTGTTCTAAATTTACTCTTTCAAGCTGCTACTGCAGTTGCCACTATATATTTTGTTTGAGAGATGTGCATGAAGGAACTTTATTGTGTATCAAGTAAAATTGCTATTCCCATGTGATCCAATATATGGGAAAGTTGAAAGCCTCTGGAGAACAAGGCTGAGCCAGTGCTGAGGAGAAGGGCTGGGACTCTTACCATGATGTTGTATCACCTAATGCTCCCCCCAGAAGGGTCATGATTTGCTAAAATTGAGTAAAAATTATACACTGCTGTATACAAGTGGTGGAGATATGCAAGGTCCACACTGGTTTTGTCCACCCTCCTGGGGTTGCCAAGTTGTGGAGAACTTGTCCCACGTTGTCCATTAGATGAGTGATACATAGTGCTGTTCAGACCAACTACAGTCTTGCACCAGGCTTTACATGTATAGTGGCATGTGTTTGCAAATCACAATGAAAGATTGAAGACAGAATTGCCACTCCTTACAGTGTTTTATGTTAGGACCCTGATGGTTCATTATGACTTCGTTTTCTTGGGATACATCAATAATGTATTTCTGCAAGGTCTGATTAAATCAATTTCTTTCCAAAGGCAAGTAAACAATGAAGTGATTGATATTTACTCACCAAAAAAAAAGACAAAAAAAAAAGACTCACGAGTTACCTAAATCAATATGTTGTAAAATTGTATGCTGCTGAATTACTTTTAGGAATGGGAGGTTGAATGAATAACACACTAAATGTGTGGATATTTATGTGTTAAATTTTCTACAAAAGCCCTTGCATTACAACAATACTGGGCTTTCAAAGTGAAGTGCTAAAAAGTAAGAAATGACAGAGGTAACATTGCTAGCTTTTTCACTCTGGTATGCAAGTCTGTATATTGCAATCTAGCCTTTAAATTACAGACATGCATGCTAATTTCCCCAAGTACTCTAAGTTCATTCACTAGAGCTGCTGATTTTCCATTCTGTTTTCTTTTTTTGATGTGTGGTACTTAATTTTCTATACACCTTTCAAACTCAGTGCAAAAATTTATTTTTCTTTTATGCTTCAGTTGTACATACATAGCTATTATTAGTAACACCCAGTAGCTTCCCAAATGCAAATGTTTCTATAGTTATAACATGCCTGTGAAGCTAAGTATTTTGACCTCTGCTTTACCCATGCAGAGTTGAGGCATGGAAAGATTAAGTACCTTACTCAAAGCTGTTCAGGAAATCTGTGGGAGAGGCAGTTATGGTACAACAGCATCTTCATAGTTGTTCTGTTTCATAGTCATACAATCATCTTTGTGGCTACAGTTTTGCCTCATTCACTCTCTATTAATATTTCTCTCACAGTAATTATGAAAGAAATGAATATGGTCATGTCTCTATATTCAGTCTGTATTGAAACTCATAATGCACCATGTAATAGTTACAGATAAAAAGGAGTACAAAAACTGGACTCGAGCCTGAAATCATTACACAGCTCTCCATTTCCCACATTCACAATGAAAGAAGCAGAAGTACTTTAGAAAAATATATTACATGACAGTCTTAAAATATATTATAATGTGTAAGACTAAGTGGCGAGGCTCCAAACTGACAGTCTGCAGTACCTTTACTGTGTTGTGGTATTTGATTAAAGGGTCTTTGAAAACTTAAGTTCCTGCAAGGCAGTGTTTTTTTCAAGCTGTTCCCTAAATTTTTAAAACATAAGTAGGAAAGGACTCCCATTATATTCAGCTCTCTCTAAATACCATGTATGTGATACAGGCAGTAAAACAGGAGCCACTGGCATGTCCTGTATTGAAACCTGCATTTTGTGGAAGACGTCTCCTGCAGAGTTGAATCTTTCTGTCTACAATGCTCTGCTTTTTCCCCTCATGCAAGCCTACTTATCTTAGGGCAAGGCATAGCCCAGCTTACAAGCATTCCTGAGAGATGAACACGTGCAGGATCAATGGAATGGTGGCATACCACTAACAGTTCATGTTACAGAACCCATTTTGTAGAACACACATTTTTATTGACAAAATTGCAACCTGTTTTTACAACCTGCCAAAGGGCATATCTTTGATGTGGACTCGATATGTCAACTCATTTTTTACTTTGTATCATACTAGAGCAATGCTTACGTATGACCTGGGCATTATCTCCATGCCATTTTTCTTCTTTCTGTGTCTGATAGACAAAGATAGAAATACACTTAAGTACAATGAGATACACTTAAAAAAATGAGAACAAAAGAAAATCTTAAAAGGTCTTTCAGTTGATTCTCGTTTGATGAAACCATATTGTAGTTTTCTGGTCATACATGGAACTCATAAAAATTAAATAGAAAGGTAAAACATGAGTAATTTAAGCAATTTGTAATGATTCCTTTCAGTTGAAAAAACTTGTATTGGTTTAGTTTCAGCTGCTCTTAAACTCACTGAAAGTGACAAAATAGCAAATTCTGCCTCTTAATAATTTCATGCGATAAGATACTGCATAAAAAATACTGAAACAAAAATTACTGAGAACAAAATGTGTCCAAGGATACTCTGCCACACAAGAGCTGATAGCAATTTTAAGTAGGTAGGAGTGATCCAGCTTTTTATCACTTGACTGCTAGACACGGTCCTTTGTTACTTGTGGTACAGAAAGGTGAAAGAGGCCTGAACAAAAGGAATGGAGGCTTCTCACTTCAGGAATGCAGAGCTCAGTGTATGTATAAAGCACAGAACATCTGCTCATGAAGGGTGACAGTTTACGGTAATATTTTAAAAGGATTTTTTATGAATAGCTTGCCCTTATTATTGCCCTCTTCTCTTTCCTGTAAGTGGTGTTTTGAAACACAGTTCAGTTAAGTCTTTATCACTAGTTGACAATAAAACAGAAGAAAATCGGGACTAACAGTAGGGTTGGGTTATTCATGTGTTGGACCTCCTCTCCAGTATTTTTGCTCCTTCTCCAACCTGCATTCTGAAAGAAAGGTTTTCTTGTGTTACTGAAGAATATGCACTTCACAGTGCTATGGAGAGTCCTCATGGTTCAGGTGATTTGTGCATATTGGGGGAGTGATATTCATACCTTAGTTCTTGTATTACTTGCGCTAGTCTCCTGACCAGATCCAGCTCTGAATTAAGAGTTGTTTTCTTGCTCTTGTAAACTTTATATGAATTAATTAAGAAAACTGGTGCTGAAAAAAACCCAACCCACAACTAACCAAACCAAACATGAAAAGCACACAAGTCTGTTGGAATTGTTAGCTTGCATGTTACTGTTTAAAGTGGCTGGCTGTCCAAAAGCTGATTGCTGCTTCGTCTGGTCTTCTAAGATAGTGGAGTTGAAACAGATTGTGTCGCTGTATAGAAATATTTTTGCATTACATTTTCAAATATAAAGACCGCAAATGAAACAGAAAATTAGAAGAGTAACTTCTGCATAGTTAAACCAT